GTCAGGTTATTGAGGTCAGGTTATTGACTAGTCAGGTTATTGAGGTTTTTATTCCTTTCTTCTGTGGTGTTGCCGTTTTCATAGTGTAAGTCAAGCCGTGTTTTTTGGATTTTTCTTGGGTGGTTTTTAGATGCAGCAGCTAGCTCTGTAATGTTGTTTTGGATCTGGCAGCTAATATTCAGATACGGCGTAATCCCGCAGAGTATTTGGCGAGTTTTGAAACAAATCTCCGCAGAAAACTATCCACCTTCGTGTTACTGTCTGTAAGTAAGTAATGAGATAGTTGTGTAAATAAATGAATGAGTAGATAAAGAGGTAGGCAAGGAAATATATAAGTACATTTTAAGTACGTATTTAAGTGAATGAGAAAGTAATTGAGTAAGTAAATAAATAGATAAGTATGTGAGTTAATGACTTATTAAGTAAATAAATAAGTTGGTAAGGCAGGCATATCAGTAAGAATAAAAATGGAAGGATTGTAACTGTTGGTATGTCTATCTTCCTTATATTTTCATGATGGGGCCTTCTGGCGTATTCTTTTCATAAACTTAATGGTATGTCAATGATCTCCATTTCTATGTCATCGGTTTGGACTGCATTATCTTAAAGGAAAAGTAGGCGAGTGGTACATGATAAACATGATGTGTAGTGTCCTCTTTCCTTCCCACAAAGCGGTACTCATAAGCGTCGGAAGGAAGAAACGCGAGTGTCCCTGCGAGACTCGAATCCTGGACGTTCGGTTCTAAATCAAACTGTATCAACTGAGCAACTACAGCCTGAAGCAATGTCTGGTATATTTCTTGCTTCAGAAAATTCGTGGTTAACACCAAGATTGCTCTCATCTGAAATCGAATTATTGACCTGCGGTGTTCGAACCAGGGTTTTTGTGCACTGTTACACAACAACCATGGTAAGACCAGCAAGTAAGGTTGGTCATTGGATAGGCTAAATACATAAACCAGGGAAACCAATAAAGGTCAGGACTTTTAGTCAAAATCTAAGGTTTGAAACTATGATTTTCACTTACTTCTCATCCTTCTGAGATAGATAAATGATTACCACATCTTGAACAATAAGCAGGAGGCCGTACGTTTTTATTATGGTGAGCCGGGTATAGTTTTTTTTCGTTTAGTAACGTAGCATTGCGACTGACAGTATTGGTATGAAGCCTATGAGCTCTGTACCTCAAGGTCTGGAACGAAAGAATATCAGATTTTTTTATCGTTAGAGGAGAGCAAAATAGAGAATCTTACAGACTATTCGCTCGTTGCGAAATAAGATAACGGGAGTGTTTTGTGATATCTCATTTGGCTTTCTGCTTTAAATGTTGATCATTCTGATGCAGATCTTTATTGAATAACCTTTTATGGCTGTTTACTTTGTTGTCTTAGCTGCTTGCTATTTAGGCAGCTATCAAGCAGGTTAAAACGAATTACTGTCGTCAAGCGCACCTATCAGCAGCACGGCCATGTATCTTGAAATCTCTGGGTCTCACTTGAGCTGGCGCTGTTCTCATTTTGTTCTCAAGTCACCGAGTTGTTGCCATTTCACAGTTGGTTGCAGCAAATCGCAATGTCGTTGATTCTTCGCTACAAGGAGTTAACAGTCAATAAGATTAAATAAATTTTGTTGCTCCTGGTTTGTAACTGGCATCTCTTGCGTTCAAAGATTACGACTTCGAAACGAATTCCCATTCGTCAACTGTACCTCATCTTTTCAGTGGATTTAGTGACATTCAAACAGTGCGCATTAAATTAAGAATTGTAATAACTGCTTCTTATGTAGGTAGGTCAACATACACAGAAATTCTCGTAGATTCAACGTTCGCTGAAATATGTGGATACTTGGACCTGGAGCAGTAGCGGTAGTACAGTTGTTGCTGGTGTAGAGTTGTTCTTTAAGTTAGACTTAGACCTTAAGAAGTTTCTTCTGCATCGTTATAAGGTTCGTTTCAAGCTGAATCCATCTAAAGGGAACATATATACATGCGTTTTGGAAAGCAAAACGTTTCTAACATATTTTTATTTATTGCTTTCCAGTTCTGTTCTGCAATAATTTTCTTGTTCGTTTTTAGGAAGTAATCGAGATGAAAGTTGCTGCTTGCAGAACATTTCCTGCCTACAATTTTTCTTCAACCAGTTTAGTTGTCATGTGCAATAGTTCCCGTTTCTTTGTTGTGAACAACGTATCCCATCCAAAATTTTGGCAGAGTTCCATCATTAACGGTAAGTCGTTTAAAAAGTGAATAAAACATTATCTGAATATATTTTTTAAAATTTTAAGGCTTGTGATTTGATCGATTTGTTAATCGTTTTCGAATGCTTGTAGGGCATAATTTAAAATTATGGGTTTGCGCCACGAGTAGGATATAAGATCATAACCGCAGGAGCTGAAATGCCATGTCTAAGATTGCCTTCGTCAGAGGCAGAGTTGTCAGCATCAGAAGGCAGAGTTCTTGTGTTCTGGTTAGCCATGAAGATCTTAGTGATATCCTTTTGCCGTTTGCCTGTCGCGTATTAACATCCACGAGGTCG